AAAATTATAATAAGTTTAAATTACAATGTAAATGTCTATGTAATCATCATGTGATACTGTTATAAGTAACCGACTACTGTTAATTCGTTTTACTGTAATTGACACCCTCAAATTAAATAAAAAGTTTACAATCAAATCACAAAGTATTATTATTGTTAGAGTAATTTATAAATTGATTAAGAATCAGCATACGGAAGTAACACACCTGGTACGTTTAGCCAAGCTTCAACACAAAAAATTCAATAAAAATGTTTTAAACAGCGATAACATATTTATATACATACTATCATTAATTTTACACTTGCATTATACCGCAAAAAATCATCAATTGATTTCCTTTTTTGAAATTTAAAAATTCCAAAAATTTCATTTAGCAATGATGTATCCGCCATAAGAATTGTAGTGCTCATGTGGAAATTGTTGCAAGATAATACTGATGAGTAATAGACAAAGACAATAGTAATCTCTTATTAACAACACTTCCAATAACTCTACTTTAACACATAAAGTTTTATTGTTTTTTATTTTTAATGTTAATGTAAAATCGTAAAAAACAATTTTAATTTAAAAATCGTATTTTTTAACAATAACAGTAGATTTTTAAATATAAAATAAGTGTATTTAAAATAGCGTTTATAACTAAACTCCAGCGTTATTCAATGATGATTAACATCTAGAAAGCCTTTTACAACGCATTTACTTGTACACAAAACCTAGTATTCTAATTAAAAATGCATTTTTATGTTTTCAAATTCGAAAAATAAGAGATAATATCATTATCGACTGCAATGAGATCAGGTTTTTGTTTACCCAACAAAGACGTCAAGCATGACGACCATTGTTTGGGAAAGTGTGCTTAATCTCTGACTAATTGGGACTAAAACCTTTTCTTTGTCCCTTCTGCACGGCAGTCAACTGACAATTATTTTGGTAAAATACGCAAACGGATTACCGTATTCCCCATAGGGTTTTTTCTATAATATGTTATGGCACAGCTTTGTTGTTTTACAAACATTTTCTTAACAAGCGGTGCTTCTTGGGCTTAAGATACTTTTACGGCTTAACATTCACAGTTTTTTGTAACTATATACAGGAAGACATCATGTGAAATATATTATCTCATTACTATCACAAGTACGTACAATAAAGAAGTAAGGAAACTTGAGAGTAATTGTAGGTTTATTAGTTATTGTAGTTGATTTCTAAATTAAATGTTGATATTTTAAGATGTCCTATTAACAATGAATGTTAATTTAAATTATATTAAGCAAATTTAAACCCAAAAAACACAAAAAGTACGAAAATGTATCTAAATTTACCAAATGTAGTAAGGTCATCACTTCTTTAGAGCCAAAACGTATTTGACCTTACTTTTTGTCAAAACAAAGTTAAATTAACTTGACATCAGACAGTTCAAACAACAAGTACCGCGACGTTACACTCGTGCTCTCATCGTTCTTTATAGTAACCTACAGTACACCACATATCAAAAGTCAAAAACTTTGCTCAATGAAGAGCTCATACATTATGTAAAGTTGAGAAACTATAGAAAACTCAACTTACAAGTACCGTATTGTATTTGGTGCTTAAGTAAATGCACAATGTTAAACTAACTTTTTTACTTTAACTATAAGTGACTATATATGCCACGTGCGTTACAAAAAAAATTAGGCGTTCAGTCAAAAACCGCGAATTCTTGTCTAAAAGGCATTTAGACAAGAATTCCAAATTTCTTGTCTGAAAAGATAGAAGAGACCATGCTCTCTCGCCGCGAAGAGAACAACGTCTTTTTTTCTCTGCGCGCTTTCAGACAAGAATTCGCTGTTTTTGACTGAACGTCTAATTTTTTTTGTAACGCACCTGGCATATATAGTTAAAGCTTTCACAATACCATTTTTGTAACAAAAAAAGTTTTGTATTAGAAAGTGTACTGAAAGATTTTTTATTATATTTTATACACCGAAGTAAAATCATTAAACGTTCAATAACCACGAATTTAGAAGCTTGAAACATTTCATAATCTCAGTTTGGCGGGAAATTTAAAAAGTGACTTTTCTACTTTTACTTTCTCGAGACTGAGAGTAAACTGCAATTTAAAATTTTGCATAAATTCTTAGATTTACGTAATGTTGCGATAAAAAACTTTGAAAAATCCTGTGCATTACAGGTCGTGTACCTTCTTTGTAAATGTGTCTTATGAAAAAAAGCTTTAGTTAAACTGCCAGAATTTGAGTTTAAAAATAAAAGGCTATGTAAGGGAAAGGCTTAAATAAAAAATTTAAAGGCTCACGAACCCACCTTGCAAAACGTTGGCGTTTTGTGTCAAAAATCAAGAAATTTCAATATTCACTGTTTTCGCAGAAAAAATTTAAGCAGGTAAATCCCACATTGGAAAATTCAATTGGAGATCGAGCTGCTTTTTCAGAAAAATAATTTTAATAAATTTAAATTTTTTGCGACACAACGCCAACATTTTGCGAGAAAGTCTTTTGAACGTGTTTTTGGATTTTCTAAAACCAGAAAAAATCAACCGTCTACTTGTAGCCAAATACGTTTTTTGACATTTTTCATTTACAAAATACAAATATTTTTAAAAAAAATAAAAGTACGACTTTTTGACTTTTTACGGTACTTTTAATAATAATAGCACGGATCTTAAAACACAAACTACTTAAGGTACAATATAAATGTTGCACTCAATTAACTGTTACATAAGATTTGATAGTATGTAGCCCTTGTATATACGCTGCTTCTTCCTCTATTCTTAATTCAATTATGTCACTTTTACCCAGTGTTTTGCCGGACCGGTCCGGTCCGGATTTTCAAAAATTGCAAAATTGAAAATAACTTTTTAGCTCATGATTTGAACTTTTAAAAAATAAATAACTTTTGTGAAGGTCCGTCTCATACAAGTTCCTCGCTAAACATTTGGACCGGCCGGACCGAATCGGTGGTGCCGGTCCGGGTGGTCTATTTCGGTAATAACTTGATAGCCAAAGACGGACCTTCACAAAAGTTGTTTATTTTTTAAAACTTCAAACCATAAGCTAAAAAGTTATTTTCAATTTTGCAATTTTTGAAAATCCGGACCGGACCCGGTCCGGCAATACACTGCTTTTACCGTATCTTAATAATAACACATGTTAAAAATAAATTTAGGAAAAAGTCTACAACATAACATCTTTTTTAAGGTTTACAGATGCTGTTTAAACTCTTACAGTTGTTTGTGTTACAGTAGGAGATTAGAAGCCTCTAGAAAATGCTAAATTAATCAAAACCTTTTGAATAAATTAATCTCTTAAAATACGTCTAACTCTCGCAGTAAATATTTAGAAAGTTGCGTAGATAGTAACTGTACGGTTACTGTTTTAATCTTGTGTGACATTCAGTAAAAGATGTTAGGATATGTCACAAGATGACATACGTAATAGTACGGTGGACTTATGAGATTAATTATTAAATTAGTAAACCAAGGTATGTCTAAAATGGATATATTGTCGTATATGACACGATATTACAAAGCGGTAAAAAACAAAAATAAAAATCTTATATTTAATATCGTATAACATTATTATTAAATTTTATAAAAAAGTAACAATATAGCCTTACGGTAACATTGAACTTTAAAATACAAATTTAAAATTGATCTCAACGTACTCGCCGAGTACGTTACGTATTCAGAATGCTCAACTACAATGTTCTGAAAGTCTATTCAACGACATATAATAAGATCTACATTAACAGATTAAAACCCATATCATACAGCTCTTTACATGGCAATTACAAATGCGCAAAGTAAAATCAAATGATTTCATTTAAATACCTAATGGCATATTATGTTACACTTGAACATGAAAAGTTGAAGAATGTAACGGAAAACGAGACGAAATACGGGATGGTAACTTAAGATAAAAGTAAAAATTAATCTCTAGGATCTCGGTTTAATTAACAAAGTTTTAAATGCAACAAGCTTAACTTCAAGTTGTTGTAGTGATTAGATTGGCTGAGATAAACTAATTTTAAAATGTCGCATTTTTAGCCTTTAAAAACGTAAAACACTGCAAAAAAGAAATGTCAACTTAGTATCAACAGTCGAAAGTATTACTATCTACTAGCAAAATGCATACAGTAGTCCTATCAGCTGTTATCAATGTTTCGAAATTCAAAACAGAGCCAATAACTGTTACCTACACGTCGAATAACTGACTGATAACACTGTAATCAGCAAAAGGCATAAAAATTATTAGTATTTTAAAAACAATGATGCAAATCGTCTTGAATTTTACACTACTGATGTTACATGTTTACCAAGAATGACACCATAAAAAATTGAATTTCGAAATTTTGTCACAAACTGGGCGAGGCTAGCTAGCCTTTATAAAGAATGGCTAATATGCACGACAGGCTGTATTCTTTTATTTTGTATTTTTAATGATTTTTTATACCAAATATGTTACTATCTTCTGCTTTTGAAGCGTTTTATAGCATTAGCTCCAATAATAAAAACGTATTTTATTATTTATACAATAAAATATTGTTTTAAGTCATGGCTTGCACTTTCTCAAGCATATATACTGGTATATTGCTCAAATGCTTCTGTAAACTAATCCATTTTTTAATCTATCGATATATTTGTGCGCAGCCGCGGTCAAGATAACATACGAAGACGCGGTTACAGAGAAACACTCGACTCCTTGAGTCAACTCTTTTTTTCTTTTATATTATTATAGAAGTTTTTTTGTTTGCTTGAGCGATGCTTTCGGTGGATCTAGTGTCGCTTTATAACACGCTAGCTGAGCTGCAAACTCAGCTTGGTCACAATTATAGGGAAAACGAGTTTATTACCGTAAAAAAAGTAATAATCACGACGGAACATTGTATTATTACAACATGTTCGTGTTTTTACGACAAAATCGGTTATTATCGGGTTGTATTACGCGTCTTATTGAAGATATAATCAATATACGACGGTTTTTGCTATTTATTATATAATTTTAGACATGACAGAGCCTATAGAAGGTCTAGAAGATGAAACTGTGCTGTCGAATCGATTCCTTCTGGATGGAGATGAAGAAACTTATGAGAAATATGGTGAACATTTGACCAGGTTGTTGGATGAAGGTGAAGGAGAGGCTCTGCTTGAAGTCGGAATGCCATTAGACGATGAATTTGAAGACAAAGGTGATTTGTTGTTTATGTTTTTTATTTTAGGTAACAAAGTTTGGAAAACTATGTATACGAAGTCATAGTATGATGTCACAACAAAATTTTGTTGTAAAACGAAGAAACGTTTTAAAAAAACTAGGCTTTGATAAAGTAAAAATTGTTTTTAGGTTTGACAGAAGCCGAATTATTGAAAGCTGAAGCCAAAAACACGGAAATTGCCAAGACTTTGCAATGTGAAACAACTTCAGTTTTCACACGATCTTTGGGAGGGAAGAAATTTAGTAGAATTGTATTGTTGAGGCGGAATCTGCCTGCTACAGATTTTATCGAAGTCAGAGTAGCTGTTGTTGGTAATGTAGATGCTGGTAAATCTACATTTCTTGGTGTTTTAACTCATAACTCGTTGGACGATGGCAGAGGATTGGCTAGAAAAAGGCTATTTAGGTAAGGAAGGTTATAATACATATATTACAGCTTGTTAAAAAGTTGAACTTTGGTGCTGCTGTTTTTAGGTAGTTTTTGATAAAACTGATAGTATTTTAAATTTATCAACGTTTTTCTTACTTTGTTGTTTCAGACACAAACACGAATTTGAGACCGGAAGAACCTCATCAGTCAGTAACGACATTTTGGGCTATGACATTCATGGTAATATTGTCAACAACCCTGATCCTCATTCCGGAAAGCTGGACTGGCTCAATATTTCCGAGAAGGCAGCTAAAATCTTGACGTTTATTGATCTCGCTGGACACGAGAAATACCTTAAGACCACGATCTACGGTCTGACCGGACATCAGCCAGACTACACGATGTTGATGGTGGGAGCCAATATGGGTATTAGTGGAATGACAAGAGAACACTTGTCTCTTTGTTTGGCATTGAATGTGCCTGTCTTTGTGGTTATTACAAAAATCGACAGATGTCCTGAGCCGGTCTTGGAGGAGACTTTGAAACAGTTAAACAAGTTGTTGAAGAGTCCGGGCTCTAGGAAACATCCAGTGCTGGTCAACTCTCTGGAGGATCTCTATTTGGCTGCTCAGAACTTTTTTCATGGACGGTAAGTTGTGATAAGGGGATAAAAAATAATTATTTGTGAAAGCTTGAAAGAATTCATGACAAAATTAGTGTAATGTAAAAAATTTCGTTTTAGGATGTGTCCAATCTTCAAGGTATCTAATGTGTCCGGCGAGAACATTGACATGGTTCGAACCTTCCTCAATATCTTACCTCTTCGTAGGAAAGTTCTGGATCACTCTCGAGTATTGTTTATTATTGATGAAGTGTTTTGGGTAGGTTCTATTGAAAGAAAATCAGTTATTATACTTCCTCACATCTAGTTTCAATTCTCATAATGTCTTTATTTGTTATTTCAGGTTGACGGTGTGGGTACGGTAGTATCGGGAAACTGTATATCGGGCAGAATTGAAGCGGGTGACAGTTTGTGGTTAGGACCGGATCCTACTGGAGTTTTCAATAAAGTACCCATCAAATCGATTCACAGGAAAAGAATGCCAGTCGACTTTGTTAGGCACGGCCAGTCGGCTGCTTTTGCTATTAAGTAAGTTTTAAACTGTCAAAATAAAAATATATACGTGATGTTAAAATTATTCACTACCACACAGCCCTTATCACATTCATATCAATTCAATTTTAGAAAAATAACCAAACGTCAGGTACGCAAAGGCATGGTGATGTTGTCTGGACCAGAAGCCCCAAAAGCCGCATGGGAATTCGAAGCCGACCTTCTGATTCTGAATCACCCGACAACAATCGCCAAGAACTACGAAGCCATGGTGCATGTGGGCGCGGTTCGTCAGACTGCCAAGCTGATAAGTTTGGACAACAAAGATGTCCTCAGAACTGGAGACCGCGACAAAGTCAGGTTCAAGTTCATCAGAAGACCGGAATTCGTGAGGCCAGGTACTCGACTGGTCTTCCGCGAAGGCCTCACTAAGGCTGTTGGTACCGTTAGCGAGATCACGATATACGCTACACCAGCCAACGCCGAAAAGTATAATGGCAAAGGAAAGAATCCGGGTAGGTGATGGTAGCTTTTTATAAGATCACTGTAGTTTTAAGGGTTTAGGATTGTTTTTAAAAAGTCTTCTTTGAAAAAACTGGTTTTAAGGTACTAAACAGTATCATACGTTAAAAAACTATAAATATATTGTTTTAGAGCTGAAGAGTCACAAGGCCCAAAAGCATAAAGTCGCTCCGAAGGTTGGAAACTAAGTTCCTGGTGTACATACTACACGATGAAAGCTTTTACTATTGAAACCTCGAAAGCATTAATTTGTTACCTTTTATTGTTAATCTTGTTATACTAACATCTTGTTGTTGTCAAGTACCTGTTACTTCACTTTCAAGACTTTTTCCTAACTCTTTGTTTATATTATTTTAGTTGTATAAATCTTGTACAAAAGTCGGTTTTGGACGATTTACTAACAGAAAATATTAAGGTAGACCACTAAAACCAAAAAAAGTTTAGAACAATAACAATATCGTCAAGAAATCTTTATTTAACGGAAAAGGAACTCCATATACATTGTCGTACCTTAACATAACTTCTCAAGATGGAAATGGAGCAACTTCGGCCGGTTCACGTTGAGCGTAGCTTTGCAATGACGTGCCGTGCATGTCCAGTAGCAGCCCGTAGGGAATCAAACAGCGAATAGTACCGTCCATGGTCATCAAAACTCTAGCTTCAGTCTCCGTAACCTTCATACTCAAAGATGATGCAGCACCGATGAGTAACATAATGGCACCGACCAAAGCGGCTATTGTCACCAGCAATACCAAGGCAAAAGGAATCGCCGTCCATAAAGCCGTTTGATCTGGATCGCATTCTATCTAAAAATTAATAATAATTTTGTATCTAAACAATTATTTCAAAAAACGTACTTTATAAATAAAAAATAGCGCTGATAACAAACATTCACCTACTGCAACATCAAGGATTATAGTTTTACCTCTTCTTGTGCGTTGCACACGAAAACAGCGTTGATCAACAACAAAACGAACAAAAAACCGACTGTTTTCATGATGGTTTACAACAAAATAAAACTTTTTGTGAAATTAACATTTTCAAAACAATTTATCGACCAAAATCAAATGCAAAATTTTAATAAATCAAAATTTACTTTATTTCTATTCGTATTTAAAAGAACCGTTCATTGAATTTTTTTGAATGAAATTTCTTCGCGGGTTTTTCAATGTTTTCGATTAACTTTTTGAGAATTTTCATTTTGAAAAAACATTTTCATTTTATTTATTTCTTTCGAACGCGGTTGAATATATTGAACCATATTGAGGTTTTCTGTTTATATTTCACTACTTTCACTTTATTATTCTACATATTCATTGTTCTAAACTGTAAAAACATATTCCTTACCATAATGAAACCATTTTTAAACTTTTAGTTCAGTAAAACTTTTAAAGAATAGAGTTGGTCTTACTTTACCATAAGTTTAAAAATGTCAGGTTTCGTTAGAGGGTAAAAAGCAGCTAATTCGACGTCAAAAGTAAGTATTTCAGTGTCTTTTCGTTTTCAGAACTTTATGCCACAGATAATGATGGTGTTATCCTTGAGGTAACCGAACGCCTGAACCCACATCCAACAACCTCTTCAAACACGTGGCCTCATTAGTCTTACAATTTGCGTATCTTCAGTAAAATAATATTATTTGTTGATGTCAGAATGTATATTTACCCTCAAATGGATTGTTTCACCTTCTTGTTATTAAAAAACCCTCCGCAAGGCTAGGTATTGGTGGTTTCGTGGTGAAAAGGCGGGGTATCGTGGGTTTTTTGATGTGTTAAAGTTTTGAATAGGTAAGATATTGTAGTATATGGCCTGTATAGTAATTTAAGACCAAGCAGTGATGGTTAAGATACTTTTAAGCTGTTAAAACACTAAACATCTAGTATAATATCGCCTATAAAGCTTCAGAAGAGAAAGATTTGTTTCTTAGGTGTTGTGATATTTTAAAAGTCTGAATAGGTAAGAAATGTTAACTATTGTACTAACAACAATGCCACCGTACTACTCAATACATTTGACAACATATACGGAGTCGCTTTTTGAAAACACTTATGACATTAAACAACTCAAAAAGTATCTCTCTTATGTACAAAATTTAAATTTTTAAAAATTTTACAGCATTACTAGTCATTTGGACAAAAAATCTTACTAAACTGTGTTTCGGCAGCCACATCGCGTTAATATCCTGTAGCTCAACCGCAATTTTAATATTTTTTAGCCAGTAAATGTGATCTAAAGTTCTGAAAACGAAAAGACACTGAAATACTTACTTTTGACGTCGAATTAGCTGCTTTTTACCCTCTAACGAAACCTGACATTTTTAAACTTATGGTAAAGTAAGACCAACTCTATTCTTTAAAAGTTTTACTGAACTAAAAGTTTAAAAATGGTTTCATTATGGTAAGGAATATGTTTTTACAGTTTAGAACAATGAATATGTAGAATAATAAAGTGAAAGTAGTGAAATATAAACAGAAAACCTCAATATGGTTCAATATATTCAACCGCGTTCGAAAGAAATAAATAAAATGAAAATGTTTTTTCAAAATGAAAATTCTCAAAAAGTTAATCGAAAACATTGAAAAACCCGCGAAGAAATTTCATTCAAAAAAATTCAATGAACGGTTCCTTTAACATTATATCCAAGAAATTACTGGTTTATAACTACAGTAAAGCCCAAAATATAACAAAAAATGATAAAAGTAAAAAATAAATAAATTTAAAACGAGAGAGAGCGCAAAACAAATAAACGAGAGAAATAAAAAGTGTTTCGAGAGAGCATTGAATCGAAGAGGACTACAGAGCGCGTGAAAAACTACAAATCGAAGGGTCTCATTCGAAAATAAACCTATGGTTTTGCTTTGATCGGAAAATAATATGAAAGCTTCGGTTTAATAACCCAAGTTTAAGGTTAGCTTGTGTTTCGGCTCTGAATCGTCAGTGGCTGATAATAACAAATTTTGGAAAGCTCTGCTTTACAGTGGAGCATATATAACGTACTGTGTATTTACAACGTGTACTTTTTAATTTTTTGGTAAATGTTCTTTATATCAACTTTTCTAGCAATTAATTTAATTTACAGTCAAACATGTTTTAGTTTGACAATTGAGGGACTGAACCAAGCCCAATTTTGAAGCCCGGCTCAAATTTTTAAAACGCGGTGCAATGTTTATGAGTAAAATAATTTACCGGTAAATAGTAAACGTGACAAATACTTCGCGAAGTAAATAATTCATCTAGACAAAATGTAGAGTGAAAACTTTTTAGTATGATCCTCAATAGTTTAACAAAGTACCTAGGTAGTGTGAAATCCTAGTTATAAGGACAGTTTTGGACCAGTCCTTTGAACGCCATACTAAAAAGGTTTGACTTTAGCTCAAAAGAATAAACGACAGAGACCAAAACAGTGATTTGAGACATGCTTGAATAGGAGAGAGATACAGAGCGCAAGAAAGACTTTATAAATCGAAAGGTCTCATTCAAAAGCAAACGTATGGTTTTAGTTTGATCGAAGGAAGATACGAAAGATTTGGTTTAATAACCCAAGTTTGAGGTTAGCTTGTGTTTCGGCTCTAAATTATCAGTGGCTGAATAAGGCAAATTTTGGAAAGCTCTATACTGCAGTAGAGCGTATAAAACTACGTTCGGTATTTGTACGTTTATTAAGTATGACTATTTTGTTTCTCCAATTTGTTGATTTTTTGCTAGTATGGCCCTAGTACTTTTTTAAAAAGATCAAACAAAAAAATACTTTTCCCAACCAACTATAACACAATAATTTATACCATAAAATAAAAGTGTACAATGTAAAAAAGATGGAATGAACAAACGAACTTTTTGTATGCAATAAGATACTACTATGTAAAGCTTGAAATACGATGGTAATCTTGTTGTTACTTCTGTAGGTCTGAGTATCGTTGTGGCGTTGGGATCGGCGGAGAGTTTCTTGGAGGGTTTCTGAGTCCCAATCGTGGAGTTTGGGCTAAAATAGACAAGTCAATTCACATTACGTGTACGTCTGTTGTGTATATTTTATTACTTTGCTAATATGACACTGTATAACCTTAAAATTTCAAAGTAAATTTACAAATTCGAAAGTTAAAGGCATTTTGGCAATTAACACCCGAAAAGGACTAGTCTAGTTAATATATTTATTGAGTCAACATCGCATACTTTAGAATCCGTAGTTGTTGTAGTATCGTTGGTAGTAGCCGAAGACTGGATTCTGTTGGCCAAACGATTCCATCGGTAAATTCATCTGGTATCCTGGTTGGACTGGAGCTGCTGGTGCGGCTGCGCCATCTCGTTTGCCGAATCTGACCAAAGAGTTTCGCATCGCTTTTTTGTCTGCTCTGAATCTGAAATTTTAAATTTTTAAATACGGAGTCTATCTTTATAACAGCTTTAATAAATTTGATTTTTAACAAGATATTAGTCCACACTGTGAAATGATGTTTAGTCCTTATAGTTATGTTTAAAAAGAACAGTGTATTGATATTTGTGTGGTATGTCGATGCTCTCTCTAACTTTGTGCAAAACACAGTAATTGCCTTTTTTACCGCACTTTTTTGACCCATTTTGCTTGCAGCTAATCATGTCTATATAAAATTACATCCGATGTAGATTGTTAAGAAGTAAGACTTATATTCAAAAGGCTTAGTCTTTAAACTATACTTAAGTCATCATCATAATATATATAACCTAATATAGTAAACAAAGGTAGCTAAAGTTTCTATTGGTCAAGAAGTCTATAGACAAATTATAAAAAATCAGACATTTACAATCTTACTTTAACTTACGTTATGTACGAACGCAAGTTAAAGTAAATGAAAGTAATACGATCAAAACGTATCGGTTTCGACAGAAAATAAATAAAAGATTAGGTTTGTTTACTACCGTTTTATTGGCCCCTTAAGGGTGATATCAACGGATATTGGGTTTGCACCGTGACATAGTCGATTTGGTAATAGTACTTAGACGTATTAAGCAAATCACTTTTTGACTACTGTATTCTTATTGTTAAAATGGTTTCTAGCCTGTTCTTAAAAAGTACTTTGAAAGTAAATCGACAAAATTTAATCAGTAACTGAAGTTTTATGTAGCAGGATACCGGTTAACACAAAAAAGCCCAAGTTTTTAAAAATAAATTGACAATTTAAGATAAAGAACGCACAAGCACAAACTTGATTACTGTAGCGAGCTTCTGTTGACGGAAATGAAATTTGCTTGAATGAAATAAGACAAGACAATAAAAGAGTAACAAAACTAATTCTGAAGACCATGCAAGCTCACCAAAGATAAGGTACACAAATGTAAATACACCTAGATAAACAGCTTCATAGTAAAAGCTTAATTACCACCTTACAAATTTCTCTACACTTAAAATACCAAAAATAATTTTAAAAACCTATTATTTTAACACTCTACAGCAAAAAAAATATTTTTTTTTTCAAAAAGTGAATAAAAATGCATTTTATGTTAAAAGAACAATATCTTGTTATATTATCACAAAGCCTGCGTGTAAAGAACATAAAGGTAGAGTACTAAAATGTAAATATCCATAATTTTATTGCCAGCTTTTCTCAAAAATTCACTTATCTTTAATTGAACTCAATGTTAACAACGTTAAAAAGTGAGTAGACAACACGAAACCCACTCAAAAACGTTTGAATACATAGGTAATTAACCACCAAGCATCGAGAAACTGTTTCAATAGACAATTGGAAGTTAAAATATTTCCACAAGGTGTCAGGAACCTAGTTTCTTTGATAGTATGACTTCTTGCACTTTTAAGGTATGGAAATATATTACAACAACAAAAAAAAATAAAAAAACCAAAATCTTACCCGAAGCTCTGTAGACACAGTAGAGCGACAACAACGAAGATCAGCAAGGACTTGAGTGAAACGTTTCGTACAGCGAACATATTACTGGGCGGAATAAATTACTGTGAAGTAACTCCAAAATCTGAAGCGACGTGTGTCCTAAAATGTCATTTGTTATAAGTTTTACATTAACATGGCAATTATATTATAGTAAAAAATCGCAACTTATAATTAGGCAAAATGTTATAATTTTGCTCTTAATGGCATTTATGACTAAACATAACATAACAAAATAAAATTTTAAAAAATTTTAAAAATAAATTTAAAAAGCACAACAAGGTAATAGCTGGTACTACAATATACTTATAACGATTATTTTTAACAAATTCACAGCTCAAAAACCAGCTCAAATGTGATCACTGTAGCCTAATGTTCAGGTTGAAGACCCACAATCTCAAATCACAACCTAATTTGGCCAAGATGTCTCCTTTTATTTCTAGTTGACATCGTATGTTAAGTCTCTGAAACTTCGGTTCGGCCCTAAGGGCTTTCGGCCAACGCTGACTCCGCCCACTTTTCTTTCTCGGATGACAAATACTCTACAGTAATTACATATTAAATGTTTTAGCAGATTACCCAAGACTGTTAGAGGTAAAAAAAGTAAGGGATTAAGGTTTGGGTATAAGACGAGGGATTGAGACATATGAAATAAAGGTAGTTATGTAGTGATACTATTGACATTTGGGTTGTTTAAATACGAGAAGGTAAGCTTAACGTGAGTTAGATGTGAGGATAAGCTTGTAAAACAAATATAAAGATTAAGGTACGAGATAAGACTATATGATAGTATGTAAAGTAGTATCAGGTGAGTTTACTAGGTTAAAGATGATGTTTTAAACAAGCACTATACTTTGTAATATCTAAGTTAATACCATGTTATTTAACAAAGAAAATCTTAATATCCTTACCTGAAAATTTAAGCTAAGAAAGTCACACAGAGATTAAGATATTGCAAATGATTACTATTACCTGCAAAAAAGCAGTAAGTAGAGTAATATTAACCTAAATTTACATTTTATCACAAAATTATCGTGTTAGTGAATTAGAATATTACTGCAGCGTAAGAAAGTAATACTTGAGAAAACAAGGTATTATCTACCATGTGAAACAAGATACAACAACGCACGTTCTCAACCAATATGTTGCGAGTAAATGTTCAAGTAATATCTTAAGATAGATAACAGAAATATTAAAATTTTATAAAACTTTTTAAAAATTAAAGAACAAATGTCAAATTGAAAAAATTAAAGTAATCAAGTCATATCGAATTGAGTAGTAATTTACTCCAAAAACGTAGAGTTAACCCCATTACTTAACATAGAATTGCCCTTGAATAGTATAACCCTGGAACAAGTGTTATATGTCAGTACAGCAATAGCTGTCTACAGCATAAACAAGGTTTCAAATGTACATCAATATTCATTTGATGACATTATAAAGTAGAATATACTTTTACTTCCAAGTCTCGTCACTTTTACATTATGAGTAAATAATAAGCGTGCACGTCTGTCAACTTGTCATCAATGTCATTGTCCAAGTAAACTATGCAATACCATGAAACATACATTCACAAACATTGCTGTCAGTATAACGTAATTAAAAATTATAAAATTTGAATATTTTATCAATATTTTATAAAAATTACTGTCACTTTTTGCACTAACTCAACAAAACTTGAGTACTCTAGTCGCACTTCACCACTTAGACCAAAAGAAACAGACAAACGTACAAGATGTTTACAGAAATTTTTAATACATTCTATACCTCTAATAACATTTTACAGCCAGATCCTAGTATACAAATGCATACCGGTCCAAATAACAAGGCTTTTGTGTACGAATCCTACTTCATTGTTACAAAATTGTTTACCAGGATTTGTCATCATGCTCTAGACATACTGCAGTTGACAGTTTCTTCCTGTTAAACACACCAAACACGGCATTAAACAGCTTTTTGTACTGTGACCAGCAATTTATAATTCTGAGAAAAACAACTTTAAAACAAATTGAATGATATGTAATATAAAACAGTTCAATGTTTTGCAATTTATCAAGGTTTTTGGGCTAGTTAGAGGCTATGCCGTCCTGACTGTCTTCGAATTAAAAAAAGTGCATTGTGTATATGGTCTGAACCTTTGCAAGAGTCACAGTAAAAAATGATCAGTTATTGAAATAAATCTAGTAGTTCTTAAAACTTAAGGACACTACACCCTCGTAAGATCATCAAGAACTACGCCATGACGCCCTCCAGATTTTGCAGAAATTTGATGATTTTACGAACTTGATAAGAACTTTGCCCTATTTTGAACTTAAGAACATGTTCGTATTATGTTTTGGCGATTACCATGGTTAAGCTCCAAAAGTCATGTATAGTTATGATGTCGCAGTTATAAATACGCTGTTAATCTTAAAATTATTTCAAAAGCAGCATTTTTCGGATTATTCCCAAAACTTTTGGTAAATCAAAAGATTACAGAGTATGTGGGCGATATTATTCAACTTTTTTTTGACGTACTGTAACTATCTTTTTTTTGAAGGTGTAAGCCTTAGAAAATTAGAATAACAAATGCTAATTTTGTATACTTTTAAAGTAATGGAAAAGTAGATATTATAGTGTTCACAAGACTTTATCAAATCAGTATACAAAATAGGACACGTAGTATCTTGACGTATAAAATATTAAATGACAATTTAAATGGGTTTCAAATACTTATGTAAGCTAAAATAAGGTTTCAAATGGCGTTCGAAGCCTACACAACACTTTAAAGATGCGTATTACTTCCGTTACGATGCCTTAGTTAACGTTGCTATTCGAATAATATATTATTCGGCAGTATTTTCTTTTAAAAACAAATATATCTTTCATTATATTACCATAAAATTGCTAAATATATCTATTTACTTCAAACGTATTTTCAAAGTTTTCATTTTCCAAATTTAATTTTCCAAAATTCATTGTTCACAAACATATAGCATACACACTGATGTTCAAAGAATACCCAATTACCCACAACTATTCTAATTTATACATACGATTCCCACCTTTTAGACATATCCCATACATATAAAATATTCATATATGTTAATTACGTCTTCCGTCACTAGCCAAAAATTAATTCCTCGATGGATAATAAAGTTTTATATCTCGCCACTTTATATACCAAAACAGGCACAAAATAGCCACTCCATTTGATATATTACACACAATCTTTGACGTCCAACGATCACAACATTAATTTTATGCAAAAAGGATCCCTGGATCTATTTATAAATATATATTGTAGTATACAAAACGGTAAATACAAGTTGACATAGATTAGTTTGAGTGATATCAAACTATTTTAGGTCACATAGCTTATTGTAAGTGACATAGGTTATTGTAAGCCTTTTTAATGCTAATCAAAAACCTGTAACATGTTTTAGGTAATACTACTGATGTATGTTTATTTTTGACTTTCACGTTCGACCGTTTTAAAATTAACTTTGACTAAAAAGAAGTGACAAGGTGTTCGAGGACATACCATACTTTAGGCAATTACTCCGCTGTAAGTCCAAAAACCAAAAATGTTTATACAGTAAAATAATTATTTAAACATTGAGTGAAATTTGCTGCACATTTAAATTAAAATTTAAGTTTTTTACATTAACAAAAATTGATTTTAAAATTTCGCTAAAAGTTAGTTTACAGGGTGTCCCAAGAAAAATGTCCGAAACTAAAACGATATATCTTGATTAAAAAAATAGCTAAAATTTTCAAACTTTGTACTGTGGTAGCTTAGTACTACAAGTTTTTCGTCGCAAAATTTTGCTTTTTTTGGGTACATTTTAAGGGCGTTATGATTTTTTGAAAAATCGTCATCTTCTCCGCCGAGATTTGAAAATGCGGTCGCAGCAAAATTTTCAAAATAAACTTAGAAAATTTTGCGAGAAATCTGTTCTCAAGCAAAATCTCAATGAAAACCTTTGAAAAACTTGGCAAAAAAAAGCATTTTCAAATTAAAATATGTGTAATTTTGGCGAAAATGACAATTTTCAAAAAATCATAACGCCCTTAAAATGTACCCAAAAAAAGCAAAATTTTGCGACGAAAAACTTGTAGTACTAAGCTACCACAGTACAAAGTTTGAAAATTTTAGCTATTTTTATAATCAAGATATATCGTTTTAGTTTCGGACATTTTTCTTGGGACACCCTGTAAAACCCTTTTTTAATCAATTTTCAAATCTTAAAAACGATTTTGGATAAAGAAAACTTCATTTTAAAACTTTGAAGTTCATAAAACAAGATCTCTAATTAACTACAGTAATTTGCAATTATGCGTAGTTAATCATGTGAGAACGAGACTTCAAAGTTTACAGTTTTAAGTAATCATATCCGGTAATCGAATTGAACTGTTTGTATTCTTTCCCACGCCAATTCTCATAAACTCAGCTTTACACTCTTACTAAAACTCCATGAACATGCTCTGAATTACATTCTAAAAGCACAAAATATAAATTTTTTTAAGTTTAAAAATTTAAAAAATTACAATGAAAAGCCCAAAATTTAAATACTAATCTTAAAATAAACCTAAAAATAAATATTACACCTAGTTGCAACGCCCTTACAGTTTAAAATTAGAATTTTCAGAATATTTAATGCCGAAAATTGCAACGTAAGGTCGCCCATTGCAAATAATGTCATCGATTACACTACAATGCCTTGCACCATATTAACTTTTCGAATCCGAAAAACGAGTTAAATTACAGAATTCGTGTTTATATTCCCACGGGAATCTGAATACATTTCCACAATTTCAGTGGGTGTTTGATGTGTTTTGATGGAAACTTGACAACTCAAAAAATAGGCATGCCTTCATATGCAAATTGCCAATAAACTCTTGAAAAAGTAAACCTAAAAACCTTAAAGTACAATTGATCAGTAGATATCAAGTTGTCTAAATACCACAAGTTCAAGGCTAAAGAATAGAACAAGAAGTCAAGCCAGGCAAGCTTCAATTCAAGCCCACATGAACATTCCACACTTCCCTTCATAAAATTACC